GAGCAAATGAACAAGATCCTGCAGCAAGTTCTGCGCATGTATATTAGGCCAGATCAGATTAACTGGGATGAGATGTTGCCTAAAGTAGCTAGTGCGTACAATAACAGCGTGCATCTAGCCACCTGCCGCACTCCCAACGAACTGCACAAGTCCTTTAGACCGCGCAGACCATTTGAGGGACTCAACCGGGATCAGATTCRGAGATTGCCGCCCGGGACCCAGGAGTTCGCTGTACAGCACGAGAAAGAACTAGCTACTGYTGTAGAAAACCTCAGGAAAGCCCAGCATAGGATGATAGAACAAGCAAACAAACATCGTCGCCCTTCACAGTTTTAAGTAGGCGACTTAGTCTGGGTTTGTTCGAAAGAGTTTGCACCTGAGGAGAACATCTCGCAGAAGTTACTGCCCACATATAGAGGACCGTGGCATGTTCTGGAAGTCAAGGGCGGCGAAGATGGACCGTCCTACACCATAGAGTTACCAGCACACCTCCACACTTACCCAGTTTTCCACGCATCAAAGTTGTTACCGTGTCAAACGAGTGATCAATTTCCATCCCGTAGGTCCATGATCCCACCGGATATGGATGGAAGATACGACATTGATGGAATAGTGGCTGAAGATGTATTCAGGACTGGAGGTAGGGGTCGTCCACAGAAACAGTACAAGGTTCACTTTAGTTATCAAGAACCGGAAGACAACCGCTGGTTTACTAGATCTGAACTTCTAGAGACAGCTCCCGACATAGTCCGGGCCTACGAAAGACAGCAGAAGGGTAAAGGGCCTGCCTTGGACTGAAATTTTCTCGGAGGACCGCAAATTTAGGCCGGCGGGAGTGAAACGGTATTCACCAATTCGTGGGAGCTGAGGCAGATCCCAGGGCTCGATCCCTAGTTCCCCAACTCACCTGTGTACAATACCTGCGTCAACTCGAAGAGTTGAACCTGCGACCTGTAGAACCGCCAGTGGTAGGTAGGTCTGTCGTAGGTCTATAGGAAGCCAGGATTCTATCAGTAGACCTGTAGATTAGAAGGCTAGCTGCAGTCCTTCTAGAAGGTTGGCAAGTGGTCAAGTGGTGCAGGCCAGTGGGCAAGTGGTGTGACAAAAGCAAGCCCATGTTGGAGACGAGGACAAGTGGCAAGGGCAAATAGTAGGACCCCAGTGCAACTGCACTGCGTCGTAGGGTAGTCGCCATGCAGTCATGGGAGAGTCTAGAAAGTACCAGTCCGGTCCAGCAAGTACCACGGGGGGGACTGTGTGCACCATGGGCCAGGGATACAGGGCAGACCAACGCAGCGCAGAAGTATAAATCAAGAGGCTGCGTCCAGCCATTCATTCATTCCTGCAGATGCCATGCGGAAGCGCTGCCTTAGCAGCTTGTGCGAGGAGGTCTGCAGTGTGCCCGAAGAYGAAGTGGGCAGAGAAGTGYAGTGTAGCGATAGGTAGTGGCAGCTAGCGCTGCCATAGCTGTCGCATAGCGTGTGTGTGTGTTGCGTATGATACTGAGTGTTGCGTGTGGGACATCCAGGGTGATCCAGAGTGCGAACAGTGAGTTGTGTGGGCGCCCAGTCGCMATAGCCAGTTGAAGAGAACTCATATCTGGTTACGATATCTTAAGTACTGTCAGGGCGCATGTCGCCAGTTGCTGTATCGCTGTTTGCATGCAAGACAAGTGTGAATAATCGAAGTGTAAATGCAATAAACACTATCGATAGTAATAAGCACTCCGTGTTTAGAAAAGCAACCTGACCCCTCCATTCAAGTTGTATTTCACTTTCCAAAAAATAATAATAATAATAATAATAATACAAAAAAAAAAAAAAAATTGTATTTCTTCACGGCAGCCTCGCCACCATGATGGTGGACGATCTCCCAGTCAATCCGATTCCGATTCCGATACCGATTTGGATTCTTCATTTTCTGACCGAGGAGGATTAGTACAGAGAGAGAGCGATTGCAAGAAATACAATAAGCTGCTCGGCATTCGAAAACTCGACCCCCATCCAGCGTCCTAGCTCAGTTGGTAAGGCACGCAAGTGGCATTCAGGAGGTCTTGGGTTCAACCCCCATTCAATTTGGCCTCATGTACCTTCCTGGGCAAGCTTGGGGCCGGCCACCTAGAGAAAGCACGTTGGTCCCCCCAATTGGCATTAAAAAGCAGTGTCTGCTGATGTTCATAGGGGGAGGGGTAATCGGGAAGGCACAGCGACTGGCCACTCAGATGATGCTCGGTCCCTCTGCTACCGGCTGTCCCCTGGCCGGTGTCCCCCAGTGGGGGTTCCCTGAAGGCAATCAAGGCCACCCTGGGCTGAAAAGGCCACCCGATGTCAGATTAGACACAATATTGAATTTACCAGGGCTGGTTAGTCCGATGATAATACCTCAAGGCCATCGCCCTTTAAGAAGAAAAAAAAAAAACTGGACCCCCACTCCACCCTCCCCCAACCTGACGGGCAAAAGGAGAGAAATGGCAAAGAGCAGAGTGAACTTGACAATTAATAAAAGGGGGAGGAGGGCGGGGGGGGGGGGAGGAGGAGAAGACTCAGTCAACAAAATTACCGACCCGAATGCCCTGGTTTCCGGTGCTTCCTATTTAGCTAACAAAAAAAAAAAAAACGCATCGGCAAAATTCTGACAGGCAGAACAGAGAGAAATGCGGAGCTCTCTCACGACGCCATTATTACACGTCCTCGAAGGGCCTCGTTAGACCCTCCTTGAAAAATCTCAGGAATTAGGACGAAGTCCTTGGCAAATTTCAAGAAATTCAGCGGCGTCGTTACACCGCGTCCTAAACGAAAGGGTCCCAAGGAAAAACCTTGGAGGTATCCCACGGCCAATTTCATACGCATATGCGAGGCCGCGGGAAAGGATGTCCGTCGTCGTCGAGGGATGTCCGTCCGTCGTCGAGCGTGGTCCACTGGTGGCGCAAGGAGGTCCGCGATGCTGCGCTGCGAAAAGAGGCGCGAAGGTTCCTTTTCATAGTTCGAATTTCAAACCGTCAGCCGAGGTAAAGGCGCGCCGTGGCGTCACCACCCCTGGAGCTACCAGTGTGCGAAACGTGTGCGCGGACGATTTGCAGCGCCCATCGCTGTTGGCGACTCGTTCATCTGATCGTCAGCCGGCGCGGCGCGAAAAGTGACGACGTTGGAGCGCGTGAAGTGGTGTGTGTCCCGCCTTCGTCTTCCTGCAGACGACAACGATCCGGTGGCTCGCCATTTCTTCACGCGCCCGTCATTCGTGTACGAGGAGCTGCCCTCAACCACTCCATCGTCCGCTGGAACAGTGTGTGACGAGGGTCCAGTCGTCCGTCTGTTGTGCGTGTTCAACAAGGCACCGTCGGGGCATCATGATGGAACACGTGTCGCAAGAGGTTCGTGGCAAGACCTTGAGCAAGGTGGAGAGAAATGCGGTGGTTGCAGCAGTGTCGGCGGTGGCCATGCGATGTCGCATCGAGAGAACGACGGCGCGGTTGAGGACGAGAGTGTCTATCCGCAGGCAGCGTGAGCTCCTCCAGCACGTTATGGCGGCGCCAGACTGCGTGTCCATGTCCGAATCCATTATCCAGTTGTGTGCCACCATGTCATCCGGGGTGATACCGCGGGCGACTCCAAGGTGGTGGATGCGGAGAAGGACTGGTGGCACGTGGGAGGATCTCCGGAAGATGGACGACGCCTCGGACGAGTACTACAAGGAAAAGTTGAGGATGACCCCCAGGGTGTTCATGGAGATCGTGGAGGCGTTGTCCCCTCTTCTGCAGCGGCGGGTGACATTCTACAGGGTTCCTTTGCAGCCAGATCACATTATCGCATATGCGTTGTACCGATGGGCGAGCGGTGAGATGTACGAGAGCAGCACGTCGTCATTCGGAATAGGGGATCGCATCCGGGTTGATCGCAGTGGAGGACGTTACGAGGGCGCTCCTGAGGGTGTACAGTGACAAGATCGTTTGGCCTACAAGGATGCGTCGTACGCTCGTTCTGCGTGCCTTCGAGGCGAAGGGCTTTCCCAACTGCTATGGCTGCATAGACTGCACGCACGTTTACGTCGACAAACCGGCGAATGCTCCCTCGGAGAACTAGTTCGACCGGAAGCATCGTTTCTCCGTTGTAGCACAGGTGGTGGTGGACCTGGACTTGCGCATCACAGACGTTTTCGTGGGTTACCCAGGGAGCTGCCATGACATTCGGGTGCTTCAGCTCTCCAGTCTGTGGGCGCGTGCGGAGGAGGGGGATCTTTTCCGTGGAGCTCCTGTTGTGCTGCCGTTCGGAGTGAGGACACACGGTTACATTCTGGGCGACAACGGGTATCCGCCGCTGGAGTGGATTGTCGTGTCGTATGGGGGACTGATCAAATCCCCGACGAGGAGAGGTTCGACAACAAGCAAAAGGTCGCCAGGGGAGCAGTGGAGAGAGCTTTTGGGAGATTGAAAGGGATGTGAAGGCTGTTCCTCCGCACACACAAGACGAATATGGACACTCTCCCACAACAGTTCCAGGCCGACATCCTCCTTGACGCTGGCATGGAGTTCAACGAGAACTTGTTGTGGGAGGTCGATGCTACTGGCGTGCGGCGGCAAGTGGACTTGGGGTTGGATCATCCACCCCACCCCATTGCTGAGAACTTCAATCGGCCCCGTGCGTTGGCGCTACGTGAGGCGTTGGCGGAGCGGATGAAACACTCGTGAAGGCGCGCACCTCGTCGACGGCACGTGGCTCTGCCGTCCTTGTGGAGGTCGTTCTGTGTTGTGTCCAACGGAGGCATTCTGTGTTATTTCGCTGTTGCAGGCGTGTGTCGTGCCCTGGGGTGTTGTGTACGTTCAGTGCGGGTTGTCATTGATCGCTAGTGTCGCGGAGCCGTCGGCGGAGACGCTGTTCATCCGCAGTTCTTTTCCTTTTTCTTTTTTTTGTTAAACATTTTGTAGTAGGTTGTTAACGCCTGGTGATGCGGTATGTTGTGAGTGAGTGCGCGCAGCTGCGCGATTTCGTTTTCGAAGAAGACGGTGTCTGTCGGCGGGGTAATCAGTCCGGACGTGACTCGTTATTGTACTCCTTTTTTCAAATGTGTGTCGTGGACTGGAGTTCCGGCTGCGTGTGTGCGTCTATTGGTGCTATGTGAAGATGTTGTGGTTTCGTGTATGTGATTGCAATCGAAATGTCTTTTTTTCCTCTTCCGCTTTTTTTCGTTTAATTGTTTTTTTTTTTTTTTTTTTAGTTTTTTTTTTTTTTTTTTTTTTTTTTTGTTTTTTTTTTTTTTTTTTTTTGTCAGTGTTGTGGTTTGTATGTTAGGGGCGATGTGTGCGCCTTCCATTGATCTGTTGTCACCTCAGGAGGACTGAAGCGTGAATGCGGTTTTTTTTTGCGCAGTTTTCAATGCGCTTTCATCAACAAACTGAAACCCAGTCCACCAGCAATGCCCGACCTCGCGGAGCATCACACCCTAGCTTGGACGATGCTGGCGGGCAACCGATCAAACGATCATTGGATCAGTTCATCGGTTTGCCGGCAAAGCTGTCCGTCTTGAGGTGCGCTGATCATACGTATCATCCCATTGGCAACCGACAACCGTTCCAAACAATCAAATCAGCACGAAGAAAAAGACATTCATACCAAACAGGAGAAAGTGAGATTTGAGGAAACGCATCGTCGTATTCCAACGGGACACACCGTTCAATTGCTGGGCTCCGTCGAATTAACACACTCGCAGATGATGATCCTTGCCATCGCAGTGGCAAACAACGACCGTTCCAAGCAAAAAACCAATCAGCACGAAGAAAACGACATTCACACCAATCACGAGAAAGAGAGATTTGAGGAAACGCATCGTCACATTCCAACGGGACACACCGTTCCATTGCTAGACTCCATCCAATGAACACACTCGCAAAACCCTATCGAAATCGGACTGTCGTTTTCAAAAAAAAACAATAAGAGGCGCCGCTCGTCATTCCTGGCGCAGACCAACCATTGCATTGACTTCACAATGCACCTTCAAATACCCTACAAAGCCGACCTCTCTCGGAGGTCGGTTAACAGCTACCAAGCGCCGGTGGGAGACGAGACACCGCGCGCGTGCAGCGGGGCGAAACAGGAACACAATCTACGAAGGGGCCCTCGCGTGGCGAAACGCGTCAATGCATGCTAACCATCTGCGGTCGTCGCCATCCCACCACTGCCCGGCCCGGAGCGAGTCGTGGAAGCATGACGCAAGATGCATCACATTTGCCTCCTGGTGCGTGGCCATGTCATCGTCCTCCGGCCTATTCTCGATATACGCCCTGGCGAACCACACTGGGATGTCCATCTTCAAAGCGACCGTGTGGTAAACTACGGCGGGCGGCACTATCCTCGACCACTCCAAGCTCTGCCTAACTGCTCTAGCCAGGTCGGTGGGGTAATCTGTGGCGACGTAGGACTCCGCGCGGGCGAAACAATCGGTCCTTGAAGACGACCTGAATATCCACCGGTGGATGAAGCGCATTGCCACGTTCTCCGTTCGTCTCGCCCGTTTGAGAGCTGGCGCTTGTTGCGCGCCATCTTCGATCCGCACGCGTGGGACTTCGGGGGGCGGGATCATGAGGCCTTGCGGAGCGCTGGCGCCTGCATCTCCAGTGATGATCGCGCAGAAGTAGTCCGCGCAGGAATGCACCGCGTCCGCGATCATCCGTTCGGGGCCGGTTGCCCAGAACGCTTTGCCGTCTACCCACAGCTTCGATTTTGCCTCCAACTCCTCCTCTTGGCGAGACCTTTTCTTCCTCGCGCTCAGAGGCTAGTTGTCCTCTTCTTCCCCGTGCGGAGTCTCCTCCCTCCTCTCCTGTTTTCTCCCCGCCTCTTCCACCCTCCGATCTTCTCGCCTTTCTCTAACACCGAGGGCGGCGGCATGGCCAGCAGCTCTCGCTGCTTGCACGGATTGAAGCACAGCCCTCGGCGAAGCGGCGACGATCGTCGGGTTCGGCGCCTCCACGTGGCGCGATGGAGACTCACCTACTGAAGCTTTTTCGCCGTGCTCGGACACAGATGTGATGGTAGATGCAGAACCCACGGCCCTCTGCGGCGGAATGTCACCGGACGAAACTCCTTGCGCACGAGCCGTCCCGCCACCGCCGCCTCGCGTGGACGTCAGGACGCCAAGGTTTGTGAGCGCAAGCATACGCTGCCTGCTCACACAGTCACGCCCAAACCCGAGCACAGGCGTCCCTGCAGAAGTGATGTCCATAGGCGTCTCCTCCTCTCCCCCGTCACCCCCCATCTCTCCTTCTGACCCGTCTCCCGCACGGAGCTTCTTCGACTTTGGGATGTGGCCCCTTCCTGTTTGCCCTGCACCCGCTTCGCCGAAACCACCGTGTGGACGTTTCGCCTTCTGCTGGCCACGTGGCGCCATTCGCTGACGGTCGGATGCGCACGCCCCGTGAAAGAAAACAAACTGCCACAGTGCACGAGAGGAAGTCGCCAGGGATCGTCTTGCGCGGGTGATGTTCAGCTCCCCGCGCAGCACAACGGGAACCCCACGCGTGGCCTTGCGCGCTGTCGAGAAGCAAAAGACTGCGAGAAGATAGCGCTCGCGCGGACCTTTATAGCACGCGAGCTGACATTTCCCCTCCCTCGGCCCGCAGATCCCACCCGGACGGCCTCCAGCACACCCCTCCACGCTACGACAGCGACGATCACCCATTCCGCATGGGGGGAGACCACCCCAAATACCAAGGGACAATGCGGTCCGGGGAATAGACGGCCCTGCCCTGGAGAGCCAGCGACTCAACATTTCGAAGAGCTCGAGGGTAGACGACCATCGCGCACACCATCCCCCGCCTTGTTTCCTAGATTTCTGTCGTCATCGGAGAACCAGCACCACATTTGGCGACGGGCCAGATCGCGGGCGAATCCACCTCAACGGCTTGACGAACCTCACACCACCGAAGTCAAGATCTGTCCCTTATTGCCCTCGCAATCTCCATCAACGTCGTGCACATCATCCTGTTCGCCTCATCGGACGCCGTGTAATGCCTCTCCATTATGTCACACTGCCGCTTCTGGGCTTCAACCTCCCGGTTGAGGATGTCACACTGCCGCTCCAGGATGCTACACTGCCGCTAGCTCGCACCCTCTACCGTGTCCGCCATCAATGCACCGTGTTTGTCCATGACTACGGCGATGGCGTCGAAGGTCTGCTGCCGCATGTTCTTCCTCTTCGCTGGAGTACCCGTGCTCCCTGCGCTGAACCCCGTCTCTCACGCTGAACCCACATCTTCGTCAACGCTATCCCCCCCCTCTCCATTAGCAGAGGACTCTCCACCAACGGCCGCCTCGCGGTGACCATCCATTGCTGGCGGCACTCCTCCGCGGGCGCTCGTGTCTGCCACGTTGTCCGGGTATATGGTCATGTTATTTTTCGACATGTTGTCGATATCATTGAAGACTCGCTCATCCATTCAAGAGTTGAAACCCTCGTCCACTCTCGTTGCAGGAGTTAATGTGAAGAAGTTCTTCCCACCGGACATGTTCTAGTAACGCTGCACCTTCTTGTACTGCTGAAAGACGTTGTCCCACTTCTTCCCTATGTCGTCCGTTGTCCTGTTCACTTCGACCTCCGCCAACCGCTTCTGTAGGTCCAGCAACTTCCACTCCCTGTTGCGCATGCGGCCGTAGTTGTGTGGCATTCCCTCGAAATGAGCTTGCTGATCCCGCTTCGCTCGAGCGAGCTTCAGCATCTCCTCCACACTCCAAGCTGGGTGCTTGCCACCCTTGTCGCCCACAGGAGCCTTCGATCCTCGGCCACCATGCGACTCGCCCCTCTGCTGACGTCCGCGTCCTCCCCTCTGCCCACCACGCGCAGCCACTGGTCGGATCTCCAGCCCCTCACCGTCTTCCGCGTCATCTTCGTAAAGGGAATCCGGAGACTCGTCTCCACTCGCCCGACGGCTGTTGTCCGCATCCACGTCGCTCCCCACACGAAGCCTGGACACACCGGTGGTTATGTTCTCCGTGGCAGCACGCCGCATCTGTAGGCGGCAGTTCTCCGACGCCTGCCTCCCGATGTCTTCCGGTGGAGTCCCATCATTGATTGCAGCACTTGCGGTCGCCCTCTGCCGCATTGCACGCGAAGACACCGAGGGGCGGATGGGTGTCACTGCCCTTGACGACTCGCCAAGTGGCCCGGCGCCCATGGAACTCGGGACCGGTGGACGACACCCATTCGTCGGCCCACCGACACGGGACGATCCTCCTCCCAACGTTGGCGCTCCCCCCCCCCCCCCGCCGTGGATCGGACCACTTGCACCACTCCCGCTGCACAATCCGAAATCCAAGTCCACACGATCCGTGGCACCATTGTCGACACCCTCCTCCAGCAATGCGGTGAACGACTCGTGCGTGGTCCCTGCTTCCCTCTGCTGGCACTGCCTGCTCGTCCACTCCTGCATAGATCCACTCCCCAGAGGAAGTGTGTGCGACAGATCCTCAACCCAGGCGTCCTCCGGATCCGGCGGTAGCGGCTGTTCGTGAGGTGGAAGATGACTATACAAGGATGGGTCATATGCGGCGGGTCGATGGTCGGACCGGGGCCGATCAGGAATGGAGAAATCCATCACACGTCTCTGCTGTCTGACGGAGCTGTCCTGCCTGTCCATCATCGTCTTCCTATCCACTTGTCGTCTCTGTCTACGCCCAGGAGGCCGCGTCACGACGAAGGCGCGCAAAAAGACGAGAAGAAGCAGCAGAAGAGATGCTAGTAACAGGACCGGTAGCTGTCGGAAGATGTCTGCCATGAAACGCACCACGTGTAGATGACCACCCGAACGGACAACCCTCACGCGCGCAAGTGAATGGCAGCAAACGGGGCGACCGGCGACAACATCACACCCCACACATAAAACAAATTTCGAAATATTCGACCGTTGGACACGACGCCCGACGAAGCGCAGAAGGAGAACCCCACCGCTCCGACGTCTGTTGCACCCGAAGCGGGACCCCCGGCCGTGTACGCATGAACGGTAACACCACAAGGCCGTTGGTGACCTCCCGCCGGTAGCAAGCCGATATTGTCCGCCCGATGGACCACGGACGTCATGTGCACCAGCAAAAACAGAAACTTCCCGTCACGACGCACGCTCGACGASGGCCCGTCTATCGCGGATCCTTGAGCCCAAGGGACCTCTCGAGGACCCCTTGAATCCAAGGACGCAATGGCTGGGGATTCCGAGGGACCCAAGGAAATCTCTTGGGAGCGTTTTCACATTTTTTCAAGGATTATTGTTTTTTAGGACGCGGTGTAACCATAACTTTCGACATTCCTGAGGATTTTCAGGAGGTCTTGGGTTCAATCCCCATTCAATTTGGCCTCATGTACCTTCCTGGGCAAGCTTGGGGCCGGCCACCTAGAGAAAGCACGTTGGTCCCCCCCATTGGCATTAAAAAGCAGTGTCTGCCGATGTTCATAGGGGGAGGGGTAATCGGGAAGGCACAGCGACTGGCCACTCAGATGATGTTCGGTCCCTCTGCTACCGGCTGTCCCCTGGCCGGTGTCCCCCAGTGGGGGTTCCCTGAAGGCAATCAAGGCCACCCTGGGCTGAAAAGGCCACCCTGGGCTGAAAAGGCCACCCGATGTCAGATTAGACACAATATTGAATTTACGTGGGCTGGTTAGTCCGATGATAATACCTCAAGGCCATCGCCCTTTAAAAAAAAAAAAAAAAACTGGACCCCCACTCCACCCTCCCCCAATCTGACGGGCAAAAGGAGAGAAATGGCAAAGCGCAGAGTGAACTTGACAATTAATAAAAGGGGGAGGAGGGCGGGGGGGAGGAGGAGGGGAAGACTCGGTCAACAAAAGTACGACCCGAACGCCCTGGTTTCCGGTGCTTCCTACTTTCAGTTTTTCAGACTTTTCTTATGTTTCGCAACAAAAAAGAAAAGACACCCGCATTAATATCATAATTGATTGTGCAGTGCCCGTTGCCCCAAAAAAGAGAAATGAATCGCGAGGGGGTGGAGGGGGGGGAGCTTTCGAGGTAAGAAGAAGACGAGACTAAATTTCCACCACAAAAATGCCCTCTCATTTCCCCTTAATTAAGGCTATTTTCCTAGTTTTTCTCGTTTCTCCTTCATTTTTTTAGCTAACAAAAAAAAAAAAAAACGCATCGGCAAAATTCTGACAGGCAGAACACAGAGAAATGCGGAGCTCTCTCACAACGCCATTATTACACATCCTCGAAGTTGCACAAAAACAGTAACCGGGGAAAAAAAAAAAAAAAAAAAAGACGGACTATAGAACTGAATGTTCGAAGATGGGAGAGGGGGAAACAAGGAGAATCAATAGGGAGGGAATGGGAGACCAAACTCAGGAGGCCAAACTCAACACCAATGATTGAATTCACATTTCCCGATTGCCCCTGTCAAAATGCACCTGGCTAGAAAACAGCTAGGTGCACATCATGTTTCGTCACCTCCCTATGGCCGTGGAGATCGATTCGGCAATGACCATGGTTCATACTGTACGTGAACGGAAAGAAGTCTGGACGCAAAGGGTTCCCATCAATAGGACTGGGAACACATTCTCTCTCTCTCTCTCTCTCTCTCTCTCTCTCTCTCTCTCTCTCTCTCTCTCTCTAGCGGATTACGGGAAGATGGGACGTTGGGGGAGGGCAGGGGCTCGCGGGACAGAGAGGGGCGAGGAAGATGGCGAATAAAGGGAGGAGGACGCTGGGGCGAGGCGAGAGGCAATCAAGCAATCAACCAATCAATCAATCAACTCCAGAAGCTGCAGTACAGATTCGACAAATGGAAACGACACCCTGGTCTCCTCTTCTACTGACATACAGACAAACACTCCCACACACATTTGACATGCAACCGCCGTGCAACGAAACGGCCATCATAATTGACAGGCGTCATCACAGTAATACCTCATCATTAGCGTCATCATGACATCATCGTCGAATCATGATGGGAAAAGTCCTAAAACCTCCCCGCGACGAGGCCTTCGCATCCATTTCCCCCCAAACGGGGACAAATGTGCCGCAGGCCCCGAAGTCACTTCCGGCGTTATTTTTGCACCCTGCAAAACACTTTCCCGCCATATTTACACAGCGGCCGTTACCGGCCCAGCCAGGGTGCAAAAATGACACCAAAAGTGATTTTGGGATGCACCCTGCAAAACACTTTCCCGCCATTTTTACACAGCCGCCGTTACCGGCCCAGCCAGGGTGCAAAAATGACACCAAAAGTGATTTTGGGACCTGGGGCACTTCTTCCCCGTTTGGGGAGAAAATGGATACAAAGGTTTCGTCGCGGGGAGGTTTTATGACTTTTCCCAGTCAAGATCCTCGGATTTATATATACGTATATATATAGATACACACACACACACAGAGGAAGCAAAGAGAGTGTGTGTCTGAGGGCCTCGCCACACCACTGTCGGAAAGAAAAGAGTACCTGTGCATTTTACCCAGAAAGTGGCAAGATACATCCGT